GTACAAGAAGCTGGGTGACACCGATGTCTCACACTTGATCGAGCAATGGACATATCGTCAAGACGCCATGAAAGCAGCGACAGGCTTCCCTTGCCCCAGTCCTTCCGATGTCGAGATAGTTGCCTTGGACAGGACAGTTCAAATGCGAGGGGCATCATGGTATCGCCAGACCTACTTCTGCCTTAGCAGGGCTTTCCTACAACAGTACAGACTCAGGTCCAGCTTCTATGCGGAAATCGGCGTCGCTACTCTCACGGGTCTCCTCCTTGGTTTAGCGGAAACGAGCGAAGATGGCATTAACTTCCGCGGGATTTTTCATCATCCTTACGAGCTTCTTTCGTCATCGGCGGATTACAGTTCGGTGCCAGAGATGTCGTTGCTCATCGGCCTAGCGTCTGGAATCATTGCAAGCCCACCAGGAGTCAGGGTCTTCGGCGAAGAGAAACTGATGTACGCCCGCGAGGCCTCCTCAGGCCATAATCGCTTTGCATACTACATCGGCAAAGTCCTCTCCACACTGCCCAGAATGATTTTATCTAGCCTACACTTCACGATGCCTTTTATGTATCTCTCAACACCAAGAATGTCCTGGGGCGCAGCATTCATTGCCAATCTGCTCTACTTCTACTGCATCTATGGCCTCTCGTCATGCGTCTCTATGGTGACAAGGCGAGAAGATGGACCGTTGATTGCAACCATGACTAGTCTAGTGGTAGCCATAATCAGTGGCGTCAGACCGAGTCTGCACACCGTCGGAGGATGGCACATGACGTGGCTGTGGAGAGCGAGTCCCGGGACATGGTTGTCGGAAGCTTATTTCACGGAGAATGTCACGCCGTATCGCTATCTTTACCAGATCGATCCTGCGGCGGCGGGGACGGGGTTCAATTTGGGTCACTACAGTCTAGATCTAGCGATGCTGTTTATGCTGGGGACATTGTACCGAGTGATAGCTTTCGGGGCTTTGAGGGTGTTCAATCGGAGAAGTCATAGATGACAACAGATTCAGGATCTTGACTTGCAAAAGTTCACTTGGGAGAAGCTTCGACTAAATAGAGGATCCTAAGAAGGAAAACCACAATCGCTTACACAATTCACGAACAAAGCAAATGCTTTCTGCTACCGGAGCGGAGCACACTTGAAGCGCGTGCACACTCCAATGCTCTCCTCAAATCTTAATAAAATTTGGAGCAATCTGATTTGCGGCGGGTATACTGTGCCATGAGAAAGCGCTTATGTGGAGTGCCGCGATGCGCTTGCACGGTTGTACATCTGCACGTGGCCTTTGAAACGGCCTTGTCTAGCTAGAAGATGTGTCAGTTTCACTGCGAGCTGATGAGAGAAGTAAGGCGACCCTCGGTAACTGATACAAAATCTATGTACATTCTTCGAATGAGTGAGAGGAATCGAATCTCTCAGTGTTCTTTCTTCCTCGAGCTTCCGCCTCGGTAAGAGCGCACGAAATTCCCCACCACGGGCCACGTAAGCTATTTGATACTCGAGAATATGCGCGATCCGAGATTCCTGATGGTCCATTGCGGTTTCAGCGCGTGAAGGTACTATGGTCAATTTCGCTACACTCTTGCGGCGTTTCGTCGCTTGTGCGCTTGAGAAGCCACCTCCATGTTCATGTCAGAAATCGATAAGAAATGTCGGGAAAAGCAAATGTAACCGAGGAAGAGCATACTTATTTAACGAAGCAAGCTCGCTCGCCAAGCTGGAACTTCCTTGATACATTCTTTGATTAGCATCTCCCAAAGTACTGTAGCCAGCGCTTTTCCATTCTTACTTACATCATACATGGCTTCTACTACCGCACTCCTCGTTGCGACCTTCACGCTCTTTTCTTCAGCCCTTGCCTTCAGTCCTGACCAGTGCAACATCACTTCCTACGGCGCTCCTACTAAAGCAGCGTGCAATACCCTTCTCACAAACATAGCAAAACTAGGGACTGAGAATGCTTCTTATCTGTTCATTCCTTCGGAGTTTCCAACGCCGACGGGACTGTCGAATAGTACTAGGAAGAATTTTCCTCAGTCTTGGTCCACCAGTAAGCTTCTAGCTGCATCTCATGGCACACCCGGCTAAACGGAAAGATAATAATATCGACTAATCTGTTGATAGCTGGCTGCAAGGCGGCTCTTGTCCCAATCGAAGTCACGACTGCGTCCGTCACCTACGATACTTCTTCGTACCAGGACCTCGCATCTGCAGGTCAGATTGTAGTTCAAGAATGTATCTCCAACTCCACGTCTTCTGGTGGTTGGGAGCTTGCAGGTATGCCTTCTCATCTATCGCCTTCTTTCTGAAAGTGAAGGACTCATGCTATGTACGCAGGGGACAACCAAGACTTAGTCCTACATGTCTATGCCGCAGGGTCACAAATAGACGCCACGATAGCAAAGCAGACCGGCACCGAAATCGCAGCTACGTCAGAAGACCAGATCGAAGATGCGGAGTTGGACGACCCGGACTATGATGGCAGCGAAGATGACAGTGATGGCAGTGACGACAACGGTGATGACGATAGTGACGATGATAGCGGCGATGATACTGGCGACGACACTGGCAATGACACAGATGGCGACACAGGTGACGACACAAGTGACAACGGCGCCACTGCTCTAGGCGGTTCTGGGACTGGGACTGCATCCGGGCCTATTTCTACGGGCTTCTCCGCCAAGGCATCCTCAGTTGCACCAGTAGCTTCTGCAAGGGCGGTCACGTCATCCGGGACGTTCAAATACATTGGCTGCCAGCTCGATTCGTCGACCTCGCGAACTCTGAGCTCTTTGAGCTGGGCGGGAACTGAGCTTACGGTTGAGAGATGCGCGGCTTACTGCGCCGGCTATCAGTATATGGGAGTTGAATTTGGCTCTGAGTAAGTATTTAGTCACAGCTGATAGCCGAGATGTACACCTTCTGTTGGATAAGGATACTGATGTTGTGGTTGTTGCAGATGTTACTGTGGCGGTGATGTCGATGGCAAAGGTGTCAAGTCCGCGACTGTTGTCAGAACTAGCCCCAATAACTGCACCATGCCTTGTAATGGGGATGCGACGCAGCTCTGTGGGGGATCCGGATGGTTGAATCTCTATCAGAATACTAACAGCGCGACTGCTGGGGCGACAAGTTGAACGTCAACATCTGACGTGTAAGGAAAGGAAGGGGATGAAGCTGTACGCTCGGTAGAAAGTTGTGCTGTTGGCGTATGGGTCGCCGTCCCGATAGATTGAATGAAAAGGATTTCTGTGAGTGCGATCCCGACAAAAGTGTTTGGTGAGGAATACTGCAAGCAATGGCAGTTGCCGAAGGGGTTGATCACGGTACGTTGTTGGGCCGACTGGTAAATATACTGCTGGAATGATTGGCTATCACCAGGGCCAAACCTACAATGAACAGAATCAGGCTCAGCACGGTTCCCTGCCCCAAACATAGTCCGATCACGTCACCAGGAAGTAAGGATATGAATATCCTGGCTGTCGGCAACCATGCATCACAAGTATTTTGGAAATCAGCCAAATCGCCAGGTTTGTATACTGGGCCCTACTGATCCATTGGCAGTCTCCTTATATGACTACAGGCGGTGAGAACAAATGTAATTGGCCCAGGGAACTCAATACTACTGGCAGTCACTCTATTCCTCCAAAAGTCTGGATGGCATCACTTCCAAATCATGAGGGAGGAATCATGCAGCTTGCCGCTTCTTCTAGCGGTAGAACAAAAGCTTTTGGGCTGTAAGGCACATCTTCTCTTAGCGTGTACTAGATTCCACTGTCTCGAAGAAAAGTTACCCTTAGCCACAATTGACTCCGATCAGACGCTGGTTTCGATCGTAGTCATGTACGCTTCACGGTTATTAGAGCGGTGAACGTGCAGGCTTCCGAATGTAGGGCGGACAAATACCCATCCATTCCGTGTTACATCCGTTCAGTGGCAAATCCGGGTACTGCCTTGCCACCGCCCTCCTCTTGTTTCGGCGGGGGCAGTCTTCCTGATGAGTCGTATCACCAAACTCACCAATTAGATACCTTTTCAATGTCTGCCACAAGAAATGTTCTTGTTCTCGGTCCTTCCTGCCCATATTAAGTACTTCTATATCTATCTTGGGGATTCTGAAGCCATGAATGTAGACAGTGTTTCAATTGACGAGCGGAGATCTCTGCGCAAAGCGTTTTCCAGCAGTCTCCTCGCTAGGATGAATCCTTAACTTATTCTGCGGAGCTATAACAGTAGAGGCGATGGTCTAACGACAAGGTCCCTCCTCAACTACGCTGGATCTACACATTCTTGAATGACTTGGAATATTGACAGCGACGGTTCCGCGAACAACGGAGTCGATCGGATCACCCTTTCCAGGCTGGTGACCGGGTTGAAATGTTTACTGGCCTGGCATATCTGATTAGAGATATGAAATACAGCAAGGCACAGAAGTGCTGGCTCTATACTCTGGAATATGGGCAGATGTTTGGGGATCCAAGTTGGGATTATGAGGGGGTGAGGGAAGACCTTTCAAGGCCGCTGGGACGGAAACTTTATGGAGGCCAAGGGGCCTTCGAGGATCTGGCTGGTCAATGACATTGATGCGGGAGAGGAGCTACGGTGGGGGTCGGGCAGAGGGTGGTTTCTCTAGGCTTCCACGGTCTGATTGAGGAAAGAGTTATTTGCGAGTAGATGAGAGACTCGTAGAATCTGAAAGCGTACCCTTGTTACATCTACTCCCATCCTTATCGACGCACTGAGTGTCGCTGAACATTTCCACTGGCAAGATCTGAAGAAAAAAGATAATCGGAAATACCTCTACCACGAGTCTGCAACACGTAGCATAATATCTATCTTAAATACCGAAAAACACTCCTGCTTATACTTTTGCATGCTTGAGCAGCAGGCTACCCTCCCCGTTCGCCTGACTATAATCCCTCACCAGGCAAGTAGATACCCGCTGCTTGACAGCTTAATGAAGTATACCTCATCACAGGGCTGGAGCGTTACTGGACATATCATGGCTTGGAGCAGCCGTCTGAGAGAGATGGACCGGCAGCCCTAGAAGGTTCGGCCGTTGGGGCCGGCATTGGAGTGAAAGGATACCCTGCCAGTGGCTGAACTCCTCGTCTGCAGGGATCTTGGATATTCGGAATCTCCATAGGTTGTTCCTCTTGTCTGTGGACCGGCAATGGAGCTTGGTTGTCCGAAGCTGGCTCACTGAGGCCTGACCTCGGATTTTGCCCCGAGTCAACTGGGGCATGTCTAGCCTCAAAGAGACGCCGGTCGTTGCGCTGAGCATTGTGATGCATCTCAAAACTTGCTGAAGCACTGCTCCGGCTCGGTGTGCGGAGGCTGCCTGATACGATCGGCGGAAGCTGAGAGGGTGGAGGCCCCGTGCTGTTGGGTTGTTGTCGAGCCATAATGAGACGCTTCTTGTTCTGCTGTTCCAGGAGCATCATTTGCATTTGATAGTTTTGAAGTGCATGACTGCCGGGATGAACCACAGACCGTGTACAAGGCGGCAAAACAGTATCCTGCACTTGCCGAGCCGTAAGAAGGCGTCTCGTGTTCTGCTGCTCCAGAAGCATAAGTTGCATTTGATAGTCTGGTGATACATAATGCGGCCGGGAGATGTTTAGACAGGCTAAGGAGGATTTGCATACCAAGCCAATAAAAATGCAAGCGTCGCAGTCTGGAGGAAACCCATTTCCAGGGCTTCCTCTTTTGCATTGCCTGTTGGTTATACGGCAGGAATCGCAAGCCTATATTAGGTCAGCACATGGCTACTCATAGGATTGATGATATCTACCCGAATCAGCGGATACCATTCAGCTCTCCCTCTGGAGTCCGCCGCTGCATTGCTCTCCGCTTCCCACTCCAATCTTGCCTGGTTGATATCCCCTTCATCGTCGAGGTCTATTTCCTGGTTTGCCTGTCTCCGAAACTGGCATTTCCTCAGAGTCGCCTTCGCTTGTCCAAATTCCTCTCCCATCGCATCAGTCCAAGTTTGGATGGGGTTTTTGAGACGCTGGACACAGGCAGCCCCCTCCTTTGACACTTCCATGTGTCGAATGTGGGTATGCCAATCGAGTCGTGCAAGTGGTTGTAGGCTCGGGTCTAGTTGACTGACGAGCACATTGAACGTGGCAAAGTTGTGCTGAGGGAGCTGATGGTCTCTTGTATGAGTCGGTACCTGGTCCACCTGGATACCGTCAGATCAGCCACGAAAACAACTTTTATGTAATCCGGATGGCCTACCGGCGCGCTATTCAACGCGGTCGTAGTGATTCTTCGCTCCCCGAAAAATCGGTCGAACAGATCCCTCCATTCGCACGACAGCTCACGCTTAGCAGCGTCAATGTTCAGTGCTGGCAAGGCACAGTCGCCCACACTTCCTCGGACCTGCACCACGAACATGCGAACAGGACTTTCGAATAGGCGTATTCGTGATCCAGGTACAGACTTGTCTGCTTCGCCCAATCTACCAGATCCTGCCTCAGCCCGAAGCCTTTCGAATGTCTTACGTTTAAAAGTTGAAACATCGAGCGAACGGGGGTTCCAACTGCTGTTCTTTGAGCGTACCGAAAATACTGCCCTGCCTGGGTATCTTGGCTTTATGTTGTCGAAGTTCAGTCTAAAGGCGAAGTCATAGACCTTCCGACGGTCTGGTGGATTGTAGACTAGAGACGCTATACAGTCAAGACCCATGTCAATCAACTAGCCTAGGTGTTGGCGGTAATGCACATCAGGACTCACAATCCACATGTAGCCAAGTCTTGGGTAGATGCTCTGTACGAAATATATCTTCAATCTCTTCCTTGAATTGCTTCGACACGAGGCGCACGGTAGTCCATAGGTATGTGAGCTCGTCTGGGCTTTTGCGATGGCGGAAGTTTTGGGTGGTGATACTCCAAATTTCTGGAGGGAAGTGCAGATGAGAGGGCATAGATGGGATTGCGGTAGCCATGTTGGTATCAGTACTTAATGGACCGTATGGATTATTGAAGCACACTGTACAGAGTGGGCAAACGCGGAGATGTCTGAAATTGGAAAGGAAAGGAAAGGAAAGGAAAGGAAAGGAAAGAGGAAGAAGTGGGATCGGAAGTCAGGCGGCAGCTTTTCCCCCGCGGCTGCAGCCTTGCTCCGCCTAGTTCCCTTCCAAGAATAGCAAGATTATGCGAGTCTGAAGGATTTGATCGCGAGCATTCTTTTCAATCTCCTTAATTTTGTTCTGGCTTTCGGTGTTGGCATTTTTGGATGAGGGGGGTCTTTCATAGCTGCTTTCCCTTCTACTACTTCCAATTGCAGATTGCAAAATGGATAATGCGAGATACGGGATCAGGTGACGGGCTTCATGTCTGAAAACCGAGATGTAGCCGTTATGTGCGACCTTGTGCTTCGAGCTTGAACAGATAATTTTTTTTATGAAGAATTCCAGACTAGTGAGACTACAACACTGCTTGGTGGGAAATGTGTCCTAGACCGAGCTGTCTTGGCACATCTCCTCGGCTACACCTGCCTTCGTCAGAAGTCGCCTCGCCTCGGCATTTCATGCCCCCCTACAACATACTGTACACGGCGGATTACACTTGCACCATTGATAGCGTCAACATTCTTCTCCAGCCTGGAATTCATATTGATGCAGAGGCTTATGAGGCTCGCTCAGTAGTGAGAATGACAAAGAAACGACCCTTAGAATTCATGACTATCGAATGGTGAAGAAAGTGCGTAGAACTCCACGGCTTTCCAAACGCCCATGGTCAAGGAACAGAAGATACTGCAGTTAGAGGTACAGTGTGGTTACATCTTGCGTAACCCCGCCACTCAACGCTCGAAGTCCCGTCATGAAAGTCGTATTATTGACCAGCGAAGATCTATTGTCCGGATTCGTAGGATCCATTCCAGGCGGAAAGTCGAGGATAGTCTCTTGGTTCATCAGGTGGTCCAACCCTATGATAAAACGTATGGTCAGGCTCCGCAGCTCAAGCCTGAGTTCAGAGAGAAGTGGTCGGATATCGTCAACCAGGTGCTAAGGCTTAGGCCTTGCCTCCGACCCAGAAAGTGTTTCGATCAGACACCGCAAGGGGGCTACACGCCTTTGATTGGTCAATACCTATCAGAGGGCGTGTATCAATAGACGAGCTAACGGGACCCAGTCACTCAGAGCTGACCAGGGTGATTGTATATGTACACGACTGACTCGCAAAAATAGCGAGCAGCGATGAGCGGTGAAGTACAACAATACTCCGTGAGATAGGGTATAGAGATAGAGATGCTGGGAGGGTGAAAATGTTTCTTTCGAAGATGAGACAGAGTCAATCCACAGCCATTCAAGAAAAGGATTATGGAAAAGGTCAGTGGTAATGAGTATCGTTGTAATTGTAACCGCACCGGAAACCTGTTTTCTCAGCGCCTTTTTTGGTCGCCTTGATCTTGAATATGGTGCATTAGGGTACAACCGCGCCTGGATGGAAGTCCAAGACGAACATCGAGTCAACAACGTCCCCCTGACCTTCAGTTGTTGTCCCATCACCCAGATTCATACAGTCCGCCGGACCAAGCCATGGCCCCAGTCTCTTGTCCATCTCCTTGATGTAATCCTCCCGCCTTTCTTCCACGATCTCCCAATCGAACGGGGGAACCCGTCCACCACCACCAAACTCGTACGGTCGCAGTCGTACAGTAATTCTTATCCTCTCAAAGCCCACATAGTTTCTCAGCACGCCGGCCATGCGCTCCGTGAGGCGCCATGTATGCGGATCCAGATGACACACTTTGCGATGGACATCATGACCACTGAATTGATGCAGTAGGTTCATTGTTCGTGTGAAGATAGCGTGCTTTGAGGGTTCATGGTCTCCGAATCCGATCTCGGGCTTGGAAATGTAGAAGTTCTGGATCTTCGCAATGGTGGAGGAGCTTGGGACGGATAGGGGATGCTGGTGGCGTGGATTGAACGCGCGGAGATGGTAGATGCCCTACTTGTATAGAAGCGGTGCTGCTTGCGTGTTGATTGAGCGGCAGACACGGAGAAACTCAAAGCTGGAAGCCAGAGTGAGGTACTTGTAGATCTCTTCGCGGAGTTCGAAGGGGAGAGTTATGATGTATGTTGCTTGGTTGGGTCGTGTTGCTTATCACTGCCATCGGTGAACCGTGGGCTGGTGTTTTGTGTTTGAGCTAAGTGGTCTCGAGAGGTAGGTTGGATAAGGTGCAAAAAGGGCAGGTCCTGGCGCATAGTTGTGAACTCCAGGATCGTCCGGTCGCGGTCAAGATTGAGCGCTGAAATTAGGACATCATGGAGGTGTTGCTCAAATGGCTGGCTTGTATGTTTGATGCCGATGTAAATGGCCAAAAAAATGAGGAAAGTGTGAGTCGAGTGCTTCGTTCACTTAGCCGTGGAACAACGAGAAATTAGGTGGAGGAGGAAAGGATGAAAGATGGGGAAATGCCGATACTAACGGTTAAAAGGCTGACAAGTTGAAGTGAAAAGCTAAGCCCAATAAAGTCATAGAGTCTATCTCACTTGAGAACTATGTTTGTTTTCAGATTCGAGTCAGGGGGTTATGTCCCAATGGTCGGCCGAGAGTCTTGTCGAGTATTGTACTGGAGACAATGACATATACATGAAGGTGCAGCACAAGATTGTCGATGCTAAGGCCCTTGATCTAGGGGTTGGTTTCTAAAGCTACCAGCTACCGGTGCTCAACAGTTGTTGTTGACTTACGTAGTAAGCGCATGTCTAGTCAGAGTTCAATCAGCGTTGCCTGCCGGGCGCAGCTCGCATCGAATGCCATCTCCTAGTCCGCCATAACAGGTCTTCCATCCTCTCTTGCTCTGTGGGACGCAAATCGGAGTAAGACTGCCCGTGGATGCTTCGGCCCAATCGATACAAGTCCTCTGAAGTCTCATGCACAAACTGTAGGTCTTCCAGAATTTGCTGCTCCTTGCTCTCAATGATCTTCTTGTAATAGGCCACCAGCTCCATCAATGGCATCTTCTCTTGAAGGCGTGGATTTAGATAGATCTGACATTTGCTCACGTTACGCAAAAGGGTTAGTGGCTGCATAATGAGTTCGATATCGGTTGCAAATAGTGCGGTGCCCGTGGAATTTGCTGCTCGCCACAGTCGCCGTTCGATAGTCTCCTTGGTGTAACTACCATGATCCGTAAGGCGCTCGACGTCTATTGTCGTCACCTCAACACTGCCTTGGACACTCGTTGGTTCCTCGATCCCTATCATTGTATAGTACCCGCCTGATAGTGGTATGAGTTCCAGAAATCGACGCGAAGGCACTTGAGGGATTCTAACAGGCAAATTGCTTTGCAGAAATTGATAAGGTTGCGTCGTACATGTACGAGGTGCCTGGATTGGTCGCAAGAAGAGTGAATTTGTAGCCAAACACACTTGACTTTGTGCAGTGGGATCATGGTCGACACACACCCATCTAAGCACCCGCAACCCCAGTGGGTTGAGAGGAAGTTGATGCCATCGTCTTCGATATGCACAGTTATCGTGAGTCTATCATAGAGGTAGCGAGCTGTCTCCTCGTATATTTGGCGACTAGTCCGCATGATGGCCATCTCACAAGGAGCCTTGTCGTGGCGGTGTCTGGTCCAGATATAATCCGTGATGCCGGACCCAGCGTCTTCAGTACATCCCCACTCATTTCCTGAGTTGATCTGATCAACGTCCGGAAGGAGAAAGCTGGCGCATCAGAGGAAATCTTCCTCGGCGATGAGCTGCATCTTGGTTATGACGGCGTCACCAGAGTGGTCATCTACGTCGATAGCTGAGAGACCGGAGGCGTGCAGGTTGAAGCAGTCGTCTGGTGAATTCATTGTACTGATCGCTGGGTCTGTGCGTTTGAAAATCTGGAGAAGATGGATGGGAAAGAAGAAGGAAAGCTGGCGTCTTGAAGACTTGGACAATAATAGGCTAAGAGCATGACGGTTCCCGCAAAAGCCAAGCCCTGGAAACAAGTTTTGATATGTCCGTAGGCTTAGCTCTAACGAGTAGTGAAGCGTGAAAAGTATACATATCATTTAGGACGTGGCAGGTATGTCAAAATATCAGGTATGGAATGTGTGTTGTGTAGAACGAACGGATTGTTTCTCCAAAACCTCTCCGGGGCCAGGTCCTAAGTACAGTACAAACTCAGGTGGCTGGGAAACACGGTGGCTGGGAAACACGGTGGCTGGGAAACACGGTGGCTGGGATGCGTGGGGGCCACATTTTGACAAAATATGCTTTTTCAGCCAATCAGTGATGTATTGAAAGCATGACAAGTGGCTCATGATCTTCGCAAAGATTGTCCACTGGCTTGCCTCTCTTTTCGGCTTTCAGGCTCTCCATCAAACTCCGAGTTAGCCAAGTCTTGAGTCCTCGAGTGGCGGAAGAAAAGTGTTGAGCGTCCTTAATGGTTTAGGTCCCGAGACCCAATAAATTATTGGGTCCTGGCCCCTGCATGTCGCCTGTAGATGAGTTCATGAGGCGGCTTGTTCCTTCATACGTTATTAAGTAACATGCTTGAGGAAGACTTGGTAGAATTCGATAGTAAAGGAATGTGTAAATTGAGTGGAGATGTCGTTTTAATATTCCATACAAACGAGATCGAGATGGAATGCCAGCGAAAACATGCGTAAGTTTGTCCACCAGAAAATCACCAACCACGA